CTTTTTATTGTGCATCTTTAAAGCATTTTGCACAACGTTAAGAGATCTGTTCATCAGTTTCGCAATTTCACGCAAAGATTTGCCATTCCTTCGAAGGTTTTTAGCAATTCTGCGTTCCTGACTCGAACAATTAATATTTCGACCCATCTACATATGATATTGATAATTTTTTTTTACATCAAACATCTGTAGGAAGGTTACCTACTATTTTACAACAATAAAAGAAATCATTCTTATTCTAAACTTTTTTTTTCGGGCTGAAGTAATGGAGTGTACCTATTATTTTCAGCAGGCCCATTTCAGTTTATTGTGACTACTATGAATTTAGGGGGAAATATAATTTTTTTTTTGCATGCATCATATTGTCAGATTGCTCTCTTAAAGTTACCATTGATTTTTTTTCAAAAATATCAAAAATGAATTAGTTATGACAGAATCTTCAAAAATTTTTGGGTGTACTTATTATTTTCATCATGAGTGTATATTTACTATATTCTTAAAATATGCTTAAATAATAAATTTGACAGCTCATAATAAATAATGCTATTTTTTAAGTCAAATTACATGTTTAATCAGCATGTCTACAAATCAAACACGTGCTTCTTCAAGTATCCATATGGAACGAAATTATTTATTGTTCTTCTATTTCCACGTAAATTCCACCTTTGCTTAAGGCAGCTTTGCATTTTGTTTTTGTTTTGTTTTTGATTTTTTTTGCAAAGTCAACAAGTTGTTGGCATAGATATAACATTTATTTGAATTGAGCACATGTTATACCGTTTCTTGACACATTATAAGCTGTGATTAAGCGGCTGATAAGCTCTTTTCCTAAGTGCGTGTCTTTTTATATTTTTTCTCTTTTTTTTTTTTTTGTAATTAATTTCTTATCTATTTGGGCCATATTATATATGTGGCTACTTTTGTTGCTGTTAGATACCAAAGGGTAACTAAAACTGACCCTCTCCATTGAAATAATTTTTATACAGAATAGGTATTACGTGTGTGTTTTGACAGAGGAAACAATTATGCGGAAAATATTTGATAGCGTTCTGGGAACGTTTAGGCCAACTGTGCGAGGTACATAACAAAAGATAGGGCAATACATTAAAGCCCCATGTCTAATGCGGCAGCTATTCAAATATAGCTTTAGTCCGTTTTTGGGGGGGTTTCGTGACCGAATCACCATTATTTCCCTGGCCCATTTGTTCAAATATGCAGGTAGCTGACAAAAAAACAAGGTGTAAACACTTACCGTCTTTTGACGCTTTTTGCTCTGTTCAGGTGCTTCATTCATTGCTTTCGCTGGCAGTTAATAATAAACAAAACGTCCACCTGCTTCGCTAATGCAAACTATACTGATGTGGCCAGTGTAAAATCACTGACCAGAGAACACATAGACTAGACATGTAGAACMARCTTTTTCAACACCGAAAAAATGCGCTGAAGAGACCGGACAACTTCGTATTTGGTCGGCTCGGTCTTCTGAGGCTCAAGCAGTGAAAATAAGGCAAGACAAAATCAGTGTGCTGCGACTGCTGCCACGAAATGCACGCATTAC